TGGGCACAGCGGATAGCCCAATGCGGCTTTTCTCTAAAATAACTCAGCTAAACCAACCTAGTAAACAAATCTACTATATCCCTGAAAGAGTGCGGGGGACATGTCCCCCGTGTTCTGTAAGCATGGACCAGGTGCTTACCTTTATCTGAATCTCGAACACACCTTCTGTGTCGAAGTAGCCGTGGGCTGCTATCTTCTTCTCCATCTCACGAGCAAAATGAATGAAACAATTATGTAAGACCTGTAATGAAGGTATTTGTCAGCTTATTTAAAACATTGCCGACATAAGATGGCAATCTTCCAGTCTGCATTTCAAAAAAATAATTAAGAAATACGTATGTTTTATTTTCTGCAGATAATTACCGTACCCGAAATTTCGCTCTTAATTGCATTAAACATTATAAATAAATAAATAAATAAATATTCTAAATTCGTCTATCATTAAACATTCACGTTGTAATACAATCACAGCAACAAACTTCCCATTAAGAATAAAATCCGTTAGCGGTTGTCGTCTCTTCTCCGAACGAATGAATTTCTTTTAAACACCTTCAGTTTCTACTGGGAAATAGATCCGGAAAACTTTGCATGCATAATAAGACTGTAAAGTCTCACACGCCCATAAAGAATAGTCCCTCGACACCAGAGGTTCGAAGTGACATTCTTAAAGATTGGCTAGTAAATATATGATGTATACATGACTTGTTATGGATTATTCATACTTTAATCTATCGATTCCTGGAATGTAGGAACCACATTTTATCGCTTCGAGGTAAAGCTTCGGGATTAGTTCCAAAAAAAAAAGAATAACACACATCACGAAGTCAAATTTGTTAGTAATTATCGTGTTATGTAAAAAGGAAAAAAACATAAATCTTGTATTAGCCTATGATCCGCTTTCGAAAAATCAGTTTTTATAAAAGCCTAAAAAGTAGTTGATCTTAGCTTTATTTCACGAACATGAAAGAACAAATGAGAAAACATAATAACACAAGAAATACTATTTATACATGACCTTGACTAAAGACACTGTGCAGTCGATATTCGGCCACTCCAGACTTTGCCACAAATCTACCAGCTAGAAGAAACAAACAGGCAAACAAAATATAATGAATTCTCGTATTTAATTTTCTACTCGGCATATAATTTACTCGAGCTTTTGAAACTGTTTGTTGTCGAAAAGAAATACACAGAAAGGTTATAATTTTCCGGCGGCAATTCTTGTTGACATAAAACTTATAATCACTACGTTATAAAACCGGAGGCGCAGCCGGGAGGTGGGGAAAAGGGAACCCGGACCCTGAAAAATTTAGGCATACTGATCACATATTATTTTTCAGCTTTTATATATAATAAACTCGTTTTGTTTGTTTGTTGGTAATTAAGCACAAAACTACACAATGGGCTACATGTGCTCTGCCCACCACGGGTATCGGAACCCGGTTTCTAGCGTTGTAGGGACGCAGACATGCAGTTATCTTGTAGTGGAGCTACCATGCAGTTATCTTGTAGTGGAGCTACCATGTAGTTATCTTGTAGTGGAGCTACCATGCAGTTATCTTGTAGTGGAGCTACCATGCAGTTATCTTGTAGTGGTGCTA